CCCCCCCCCTCACCCCGCTCTGCGAGATGGACACCACCACCGCGTCCATCCCCAGCCCCTCGCCGGGCCTGATGGCCGGCACCATGCTGAATGTCCCGCTGAAGATCTGCCCCGACCTGGGAGACTACTCGTCCATCCTGGGCACCTACATCGAGGAGGTGTATCAGCAGCCGCGGCAGGACTTTGCCGGGGCGCTGGAGGAGCTGTCGCGTCTGCGCGCCAGCGCCTCATCGGTCAGCAGCCTGGATGTCCGACTGCCGGAGAACACCAGCACGCCGAGCAGCGGCCCGGGCGCCGGCGCCGGCGCCGGGGCCCAGCAAATCCTCTCGTCGGTCTTCCGCAAGGCCACGGCGCCGAGCTCCCCGACGTCGGTGGCCGCGTCGAGCGCCCATCGTCAAGTGGGCTGCGAGCGCTCGCTCAATGCCCTGCTCAAGTACTATGCGCAGTTTGAGTACTTTTCCCTGCACTTCCCGATGACCAATCCGGCCGGCAGCCAGTCGCAGGAGCCCGGCAGCCCGGCCACCCACGAGGCGGAGTCCGATGACCCGGCGTTGGTGATGCCGCCGCTGCGCATCCCCTTCCAGTGGAAGGACGCCTTCTCCGGGATCACGGCCTCGCGCAAGGTGGCCGCCTTCGAACGGTCGTCCATCCTCTTCAATGTCGGGGCCATCCTCGCGCGCATGGCCTTCAATGCCATCAGGTATGTGGCGGGCCCCGTCGCGCGGCTGCTTTGATTTGTGCCGCGGCCGGGGCCGCGCTCGGTGTCCATGTTGCCGGCCCCTCTGCTCGCTCATTCTGACACCGGCCCCTCCCTCTCCCTCCCTCTGCCCGGGTATAGCAATACCTCTCCCTCTTTCAATGAGGCGTACCGGCTGTACCAATTTGCCGCCGGATCCTTCCACCGCCTGTTGACGGACTTCTGCGACTCGCCCTCCTTCGACATGTCGCACCCGATGCTCTTCCTGCTGGAGAAGCTGATGCTGGCCCAGTCGCAGGAGGTGCGCCTTTCCCGGCCCCGCTCGATCTCCCCCCCCCCCGGGGGCTCCCACCCACCCTCTTTTCCCTCTCCGCTGCCTCCTGGCCCCCTCTCCGCGGCTGGCAGCCCTTGCTTCCTTCCCCCGACCCAAGCTGACCCGTCCCCCGCTCGCTGCCGGTTCTCGTCCTTCGCGCTTTCCGCGGGCCCTGGCGGCCGGACAGTGTCTCCTGTTCCGGGCGCTCAACTCCGGCATGAAGCCCAAGACCCTGGCCACGGTGGCTCGCGGGGTGGTGGACTTGTACTCCGGGCCGCTGGCCATCTGCCAGCAGCTTCAGCCGGGCAACTTCCCGGCCGACATCCCGTACAAGATCCTGCCGGCCGACGCGCTCCCGGCTGCCTGGCATGACACCATCCGGGCCAAGCATGCCTTCTACCTGATGCTGACGCACTACCTGTCGTCGGTGTCCTTCTGCGGGAGTTACGACACCCACCACATCGAGCAGATGCTCGGCAATGGTCTGCACGCCAGCGAGCTGCTGAAGGATCTGCAGGAGTCCCTGAAGAAGAAGTCCTCCCCGCCGGTGAATGCCCTGAGTGAGCTGCTCACCTTCTATGCCGGGCCTCTGGCCACCCTGTCGGCCACCCTGACCAAGGACAACAATCTGATTTACCTGGCCCGGGTGCCGAAGCCCGGGGAGCTGGTTCCGGTCGAAAGCCGGATCATGGCCCAGGCCGAGTGGTACATCGGGTCGCTGGGGGCCGAGGCGGCCGAGCAGCTGGCCGGGACCGATCTCTTCGAGAAGCTCATCCCGATGGCGGTGCACCTGCGGGTGTCGCAATTCTCGCACCAGCTGTCCGGCGTGTATCGCGAGGCTGGCGACCAGCTGGCCGCCCTGGTGGGGGAGTTTGACCGCTTTGTCGCGGCCCCTGTGGCCCACTCGGCGGACGGGCTGTTCGAGCATCTGGCCAAGTACCGTGCCATGATCAGCTCCGATGGCGCGCCCTCCGAGGGCACCCAGTCGAAGAGTGCGTGCATGGCAAGCATGGCACCCCGGGCGTGGGGGGGGGGGGGGGAGGGGGGGGGGACACCCTTCGCGCCTCCTGTTGATGCTTTCTTCGCGGCCTGCCTCGCACTCGGTGGGCGCCTTGTCTGACGATCCTCCGGCTCCTTTCCCCCCGACCCCGGCCCGTGGGTCTGTCCTTCCCCCGCGCGGTCCTTCCCTGCTGGCTGGTGTTCCGGTCGCAGTTGAGGCCGTTCGCCGGGACTTCGCGGCCACCGGCATGACCCTGCAAAATCGCCTGGAGGTGACCCAATCCGCGCGGACCAATGCCCTGGACCTGATGGCCGAGATCCAGCACTACATCACCACCGATCGGCTGGCTCACGAGGCGGCCCTGGCCCGACTGGAGGAGGTCAACTCCGAGATGTATGCCTGGTTCCTGCACTCCAATCCCCAGGCCGAGGATGGGTGCCCCTCGCCGCACCAGGTGACCCTGCAGATGCCGACCACCGATGAGGCTTTCGCCCAGCTGCAAACGCAGCTGGCCGAGTATGAGTCGCATTTGGCCACCGTGCGTGTTGTCCCTTACTTCGGCCTGTCGGCGTGCCGCGTGTTTCTGACCTGCGATTCTTGTTGTTTCCCCTTGGCCGGTCGCCTCCGCCGCCTCTTTTTCGCATCCACATCTTCGTGTGTCCATGTTTCGTTTTGATCACACACATGTGTGTGTCTGTGCATCTGTGTGCATCTGTGTGCATTTGTGCATCTGTGTGCATTTGTGCATCTGTGTGCAATTGTGTGCAATTGTGTGCATTTATGTGAAATTGTGTGCATCTGTGTGCATCTGTGTGCATCTGTGTGCATCTGTGCATTTATGTGCCCGCACACCCATCCACCCATCCACCCATCCACCCATGCACTCATGTGCCCGTGCACCCATGCGCCCGTCCGCCGACGTATGCGGCTGGCCGGGGGGGCTCTTCGATGCATGTGCACCCCTTGCCCAGGCCGCCGAGCAGGATCGCCGCATTGAGCAGCAGTTCACCCAGGACTGTGCGCGCGATGTGGCCATCATGCTGCAGGACGCCGAGTCGGACTCGGAGATCAGCAAGCTGATCGCCGGCACGTCGCGCATGTCCCTGACCCCCGGCGCCGGGGGCGGGTCCTCATCGGTGGGGCACCTGCTGGATGTGGACCTCGGCACGGCCAGCGGCTCTCCCCCGGCCTCGGAGCAGTCGCTGCATGGGCTGATCGGGCAAATCGAGACGCTGGTCAATGGCCTGCGCCTGGAGATCGGCGAGCTGGAGCGCGACCTGCGCCAGCTGACCGAGCGCCAGCAGGCCGAGGATGTGGACGAGGTCGAGGGGCAGAAGCTCACCTCGGCCCTGCTGCTGAATCCCGGCTTCGAGGCGGACATCATGGACCGCGCGCTGGAGCCCCATCGGGCCCTGGCCGGGGAGTTCACCCAGCGGGCCAAGCGGCTGCTGGGGCTGGGCGAGCCGGATTCCGCGCTGTCCCGGCTGCTGGCGGCGTACGAGCGTCTGGAGACGCAGGTGCGCGAGGCGGATGCCGGGGCGGCCGGCGCCAGCGCCGGCACCGGAGCCTACTCCCAGCGGGGCCTGGTGGACTCGCGCCTGTCCACGCATGCCAGCCTCTACTTGACCCTGCTGCAGGACATCCAGTATGGCACGCAGTTTTACCAGGACCTGACGCGCACGCTTGGGCAGCTGGCTCGGGACACCGAGCAGCAGGCGGCCGCCCGGCGTGCGGAGCGCGACCAGCGCCTGGAGGCGGTGCGCGCCGAGCGCGACTCCAAGTACGAGTCGGTCCTCAAGTCGGAGGTGCAGCAGCTGGCTGGCGGGTCGGGCGGCGCCGGTGGGTCGGCGCCGCCGCTGCCGGCCCGGCCGCACGGCGCCCCCGGCGCCACCCCCTATGGGGCCCCGGGCGGGCCGTACGGCTCCTCCTCGAGTGGCCCGGGCGGGGCGTATGGCGGAGCTGCCGGTGCTCCGGGCGGCGCCCCGTCGTCGGGGTATGGGCCCTCGGCTGGGTCGGGTGCCGGGCCGGGCGCCCCGGCCCCGTATGGTGCCCCGAGTGGCGCGGGGTCGGCTGCGCCGGCCACCCCGGCGGCCCCGGCCCCCTATGGCTCGGGCCCGTCGTCGGGTGCCGGGCCGGCCCCCATGGCCCCGGCCCCGTATGGCTCGTCCTCCGCCATGCCATACGGGTCGTCCTCCGGGGCGCCGTATGGCGGGTCCTCCGCGACTCCCTATGGTTCCTCGGCTGCCGCGAGCAGTGCCAGCGGCGGCGGCGGCGGCGGCGGCGGCGGCGGCGGCGCTTCCGCACCGTATGGCGCCCCTGCCTCGGGCACCGGGGCCACGCCGTACGGCGCCCCCGCCCCCGGTGCCAGTGGCCCTTACGGGGCCCCGGCTCCCGGCGTCAGCTCGTCGTATGGTAGTGCGCCTGCTTCGTCCACCGCTCCCACGGCCGGCTCGTCGCCGTATGGCGCCTCGTCCGGGTCGGTGGCCGGTCCGTATGGGGCTCCGGCCTCCGGGCCGGGCTCCTCCTCCTCCTCCTCCTCCGGTGGCGGGCCCTATGGCAGCGGGGCGCCGGCCCCCGGGTCCAGCCCTTCTCCGTACGGCGCACCGGCTGCGTATGGCGCGCCCGCTGGCGGCACGTCGTACGACCCCCCGGGCTCGGGCGCGGCCCCGGCCGCTGGCGGGTCCTCCCCCTATGGGGGTGGCGCCCCGTCGGCTGCCGGCGGCGGTCCCTATGGCGGCGGCGCTCCGTCGACCGGTGGCAGCGCCCCGTACGGGGCGTCGGTGCCGGGCTCGTCGTCGACTGGCGGCGCCGGCGGGGCCCCTTACGGCGGGGGTCCGGGCGCCTCTTCGAGCGGTGCACCGGCCCCGGGCGGCTCGCCGTACGGCATGCCGGCTCCGGGCGGCTCGCCCTACGGGGCCCCTGGCGCTGGCAGTGGCACGCCGTATGGCGGCGGTCCGGCCCCCGGGGGCGGCGCCGCGCCGGGTGCCTCCACCACGGGCGGGGCTGCCGCTCCGTCGAATGCGCCGTACGGTGCGGCTGCCCCGTCGGGGTATGGCACCCCTGGGCCCGGCCCATCGGGCGCCGGCCCCGGTAGCGGCCCCAGCAATGCGCCGTATGGCGGCGCCTCGGCTGCGGGCCCCTCGCCCTATGGTCCGCCCTCCTCCTCCTCCTCCTCCTCCTCGTCCGGCGGGGGCAGCGCCCCATACGGCGCCCCGGGCTCCGGCACCGGTGGCAGCGGCAGCGGCGGCGGCAGTGCCCCATATGGCGCGGCTCCGGGCTCCGGCGGCACCCCCTACGGTGCCCCGGGCTCCGCTGGCTCTCCCTACGGCGCCCCGGGCTCCAGCAACACCGGCAGCAGCCCGTACGGCCCGCCGGGCACCGGCAGCAGCGCCGGCAGCGGCGGTGCCCCGTACGGCGCGCCTGGCAGTTCCCCCTACGGGGCCCCGGCGCCGGACTCCTCGCCGTACGGTGTCCCTGCATCGGGCGCCTCCGGTGGCAGCGGCCACGGTGGCCACCCGTACGGGACGCCCTCTTCGTCGGAGGCTCCGGAGGCCGGCGGCCCAGCGCCAGGCTCCTCGCCCTATGGGGCGCCGTCTGCCGCGAGCGGGCACGCCCCCGGCAGCACGCCTTACGGCGGCCCGGGCGGCTCCTCCTCCGGCAGCGGCGGCAGCGCCTCCTATGGGGCGCCGGGTGGTGCCAGCCCCTCGCCATATGGCGGCACCCCCGCCGCCGGGGCCGGGCCCGGGACCGGGGCCTCGCCCTATGGCCCGCCCGGCGGCTCGGCGGCCGGCCCCTCGCCGTATGGTCCCCCCTCGGCGGCCGGCCCCTCGCCGTATGGCCCTCCCTCGGCCGCCGGCAGCACGCCCTATGGCTCCTCGGCCGCTGGCAGCACGCCGTACGGTGCTCCGGCGCCAGACTCGCCGGATTCGCCCGAGCAGCCGGCCTACCCCGGCAGTGGCGGCTACCTGGGCGGCGAGTCTGCGCATGGACCGTCCTCGGGCGGGGCTCCCTACGGCGCCCCCTACGGCGACCCCGGCTACTCGTACAGCCCGTATGGCGGGCCCGGCGGGCCTGGTGCCGGCCCCGGCGGCTACTCCCCGGCGTACGGCGGCCCTCCCGGCGGCTACTCGGCTCCGGGCGGGGCCCCAGGTGGCCCGGGCTTCGCTGGGTATCCCCCGGCCGGGGGTCCGTCGTACCCCGGCGGCGCGCCGTATTCCTCGCCATACAACCCGTATGGCGGCCCGCCGGGCGGCCCGCCCTACGGTGGCGGCCCGTACGGCGCACCTCCCCCCGGTGGGGTGCCCTCCTTCTATGGTGGGCCCCCGCCGCCGGGCGGCCCTGGCTACTCCTACCGTCCCCACTATTAGTGGCAGGGACGGAGGCCGGGCAAGGGCGCTGGCCTTTTCCTTGCCCCGCGCCTGGGCCGCTTCGCCTTTCATTTTGTGCCCCCCCCCCCTCCCCCTCTGTGTCCGGCAGGCGTATGCGTGCCCTCTTTGGTGCGTGGGGGGGGGGGACCTCTTTCCCGTGTGGGGCACCCTCCTCCGGCCGCGTGGACGAGAGAAATACACCCACACATTCGACTTTTGTCTGCTGGACGACGCTCGGGCCAAGGGCCCCCCGACGGGCGGGGAGGGGGGGGGGGGCGCCGGGGGAGGATACCATTGTCTCCCTGGGCATGATGAGGGCAATGGCAGCCGGGCCGGCCTTCCCCGCCGGCTGCCCTGCTTGCCCGACCAAGCCGTCCTCTTTGGCAGGCGTCAACACGGCCGGGGCCCGCACGCTGGTTGCCGTGCCGAGTCTACCACTGGTGCAGCGGGGGGGGGGGGGGGGGAACAAGCGCCCCCTGGCGTCCTTAACTCCGGCCCGTTCGTTGGGTGTTCCCCATCTGCGGGAAGACAACATGACGAATCACTTTCCAGTCGCCCCGCAAGGGCAGAGGCATTTGCTGCCCCGGCGTCCGGAGACCGCGGCGAGATCTATCGCCAAAGAGGCCCATTGACTGGCCCGTGGAGGCGGCTCGCTCCCGCCTGGGCAGGCGCGCTAGATCGCCGAATCCCCCGCCCCCCCCCCCCCCCAGGTGACTGGGTGGATGTCGTCTGCGCTTGCATCGAAAGGGGGGGGGGCAGGAGGGGTCTCCCGCACCCGGGACGCCTGCCGCCGGCCCTTCCCTCTTGCCCCGAGCGCACTGGCATACTGGGCGGGCGGATATTTCAACCTCCATGGTGACCGGCTGGCCCGCCGCGCTGAGACACCACATGCCCGCCCTCCTGCCCCTCCCGCCGCTCTTGTGTTCCGTTTCTCTTCCCACTCGGCCCCCGCCTCTGTTTGCCCTCCTCCCCCCTTTCTTCTTCCTGGTCAGCATCCCCCACCTGCCCCCTCGATGACCACCTGCCCGGACGCCACCACTGCCAGTCCGCACCCTGCCCCGTCTTCCGCCATGAGCGGTCTGGCCAGCCGCATCGACGGCCAGATGGAAAAGGTTTGTCTCGTTTGCTCCCCTCCCCGTGGGACTCCACCTGCGATCTCTCGCGTCCCGATCCTGACCCCGGCATCTGCGGCCCCTCTCTCCTTGCGGATCTTCCTGGCGTCCTGCATGCACGCACATCGAAAAATCCCCCCCCCCCCTCCCCTCCCCCTCTCCCGGACACAGACCCTCCTGGAGCCGTACACCTACCTGACCTCGACGCCGGGCAAAAACGTCCGGTCGATGCTGATTGAGGCCTTCAACCTCTGGCTCCGGGTCCCTGCCGAGGCCTTGGAAGTGGTCAAGGAGGTTGTGGAGATGCTGCACAACTCCAGCCTGCTGATTGATGACATCCAGGACGGGTCATCTCTGCGCCGCGGCCTGCCAGGTGCGTCTGTCCTCCTCCGTGGCCGGCGCGCCCCCGCCCCCTCGACCGCCCTCACCAATGCTGACACGGGTGGCCGGCCGGCTGCCGGCGCTTTGCAGCCGCCCACCTCATCTACGGCCCTGCGCAGACGATCAACTGCGCGAACTACGTCTACTTCCGGGCCTTGGAGAAGCTCCTGGCCCTGAGTCCGGAGTATGCGTCGCGCTGTGTGGTCATCTACACCAAGGAGCTGTGCAACCTCCACCGCGGCCAAGGGATGGACCTCTTCTGGCGTGACTCGGTTCGCTGCCCCTCGGAAACCGAGTACCTGCATATGATCGACTATAGTGCGTCCGCGCGCATGGGCCCTGGGCACCGCGTCTTCTCGCTGTCCCCACGCGCCCGGCCCCAGTCACTGACCACTGATCCCTCTCCCCCCCCCCCCCCCCTCCCTCTTTCGGTCCATCCCCTGCAGAGACCGGCGGCTTGCTGCGCCTGGGCGTCAAGCTGATGCAGGTTTTCTCCAGCTACCAAGGGTGCGCGCATCCATTTGGCGTCGGCCTGCGCTCGAACCCCACCGCTTCCCCCCTCTCGCCTCTCTCCCTTGCTCATGCTGCGCGCATGCTGATCCGGCCTCCCGCCCTGCTTAGCAACCTCATTCCCCTGGTGAACCTGATCGGCATCCACTTCCAAATCCGCGATGACTATGTCAATCTCTCCTCCTCATCTGTACGCCTGGCGGCCCCCTCCTCCTTCTCCGGCTTCCTCCATGCCCTTTCCCCCCCGTGTCTCCCCGTCTCCTTGCCTTGCCTGTCCATCACCTCCCCGCCTCCCCCCCCCCTCCTTGAGATCCTGCCTGGGCGGCTGCGCCCTGGCCGGCCATGCGGAGTAGCTTCTCCTGACCGTCCCGATCCCAACGCACACACAGTATCAGAAGAACAAGGGCTACTGCGAAGACATCACCGAGGGGAAGTTTTCCTTCCTCATCAGCCATTCGGTGCGCACGGCTTCCGACACCCAGCTCCTGAGTACGTCGAGGACCCTTCTTCCTCCTCCACTTGGGCGCATGCCCCCCCTCTCCCCCAGCAAAAGGCCCACTCCTCTCGCCCGGCCTCTCTCTCTCTCTCTCACCTCCTGACCGCCGTCCAAACATACACACACACGCACACACACACACGCACACACACGCGCACACACACACGCACACAGACATTCTCAAGCAGCGCACCGCCGAGAGTGAGCTCCTTGACTATGCGGTCTCGTGTGTGCGCCGGACCGGCACCTTTGCCTACACCCGGCGCTACCTGGAGCGGGTGGAGGCGGCCATCCGCGATGAGATCGCCCGGCAGCCGCCGGTGGACCCGAGCCTACTGGCCGACTTGACGGCCCAGCGCTCCCGGTCACACTCCCAGTCGAGGGAGGACTTCTCGGTGGCCCCCCCAGCCGCCGATGCCGTGGATGCTGCCGGTTCGCACAGCCACAACCCCGCCCTGTCGGTCATCATTGATGGCCTGTCGCGAGCCTACCCGACCCCGAAGCCCGGCAGCGCCGACTACGACCTGGACTTGGATGTCTTCAAGACAATGAGCCAGCCCTGCGGCATGCCTGGCTGCCAGCCGGCCAGCATCGCCGCGCAGCTGGCCGCCGGTGCTGACGCCACCACCTCCGGCCCCTGTGCCAGCCCGGCCTGTGATGGGCCCTGGCATGAGTACCTGCTTCTGATGCAGACGGCCTATGCGCCAGGGTCCTCCTCCTCCTCCTCCTCCTCCTCCTCCTCCACCTCATGACCTGTGTCATGGCAGATGAGGCAGGGGAGCCCTCCTCCCCAGGGAGGGAGGGGGGCGAAGGTGGAGCTGCTGCTAGGCTGCAAAAAAAAAAACAAAATAAACACACGCTGCTGACACTGCAAAAGGGGACCCCAAGCCCGGGGCCAACGGAGGGAGAGGACACCATGGGAGCCTTTTCGGGCAGATGCAGAGCAGGAACGGGGAGGCGCGCAGAAGAAAAACAAGATGGACAGCCACAGGCGCATGCGTCACCCGGTAGACAAGGGAGAGGTGTATTCGGTTTTCGGGAGGGGGGGGGGGAGGAGGGTCGAGGCGCATCTATGCACGTGCACGTGTGTGTATTCCCCCCTTTTGCCCTGTCCTCTCCCCCTCCAGGCGCATACACGCGCAGACAGGGATCGGGAAGAAGGACAAAACAAAGGAAGGGAAGAGGCGAGAGGGAGTAGGGAGTTTGGAGCCGGAGGTGGGAGCCGGGGGCCATTTGCGCCCCCCCCCCCCCCCCCCCCCGGGGGGGCACTCAGCCAGACAGGGCACCCTTGGCCAGGAGGTGGTCAGTGACCGGGGTGGCGGATGCCGAGTCAACCTCCTCGGCCTCTTCCGTGGAGCCCTCGCCCTCGGCGGGCGCGGCGGCGGCGGCGGCAGCCTCGCGGGCCAGGCGCATGGCCCGGCGCTCCTCGCGAATCTGCTCCAGCCGCGCGCGTAGCTCCACCTCGGTCTGGGGGATGCCATTTGGCCCGCCAGACTGGTAGACCAGCTCCTTCGGCGGGTAGAGCCCGTGCGGCTCAACATGCTTGGCCCGGTACTCCGGCAGGTTGAAGTAATAGAAGGCCACAACCGGGAACATCAGGTACACCGCCATGCGGTAGATCTCAAGCTTCGGGCCGGCCATGCTGGGGTATGGGCTGTGTCCGGGAGAAAGGAGCTCCAGGCGAGGGGAGAGGGGGAGGGGGGGGAGACAGGCAAAGAGAGGGACGGAGGGACGGGGCAGTGAGGGGGGGGAGAGAGAGAGAGAGAGAGAGAGGGAGGAAGAGGGCGTGCGCGAATCCGAGAAGGAGGCCGGGTAAGCGGGCGGGGGGGAAAGACGAGAGGGGGGGGGGGGGAGTCTGACCGCGGGCCGCC